TACAGGTGGTCGAAATGACTCCCTACCTTAGCCCCCGTATGTACACGTTGAAGCCGTAGGTGGCCTCGTGGTATACCATATTCTCCATCACGATGACCGTTCCCTTGTCCACTTTCCGCTCCACTGTTTCACATTTCCACACTGCGTACAAAGGGTTTCCAACAAGCCACATGTTTGCAGCTTGAACGACCACACTGTAGGAACCAAAAGTCCTTGAGAGTAACGCCTCGAAATTCTGAATCGTTAGCACTTAAACTACATAGTTAATATACATTGTAGTATTAATATACATTGTAGTATTAATATACATTGTAGTACTAATATACATTGTAGTATTAATAAACATTGTATACAACATTAATATACATTGTATACAATATTAATATACATTGTAGTATTAATATACATTGTAGTATTAACGTATGTTGTTATCTTTTACGGATTGCTATTCACGTGCTATTATAGTCTTCAACGATTTCATCGATAACAGTACCGAAATTATGATTTCAACGTTTCTCAATTTATTATGGCTGTTCAGAATATAAAAAAGGTACTATTATAGTAATACGACTGCAATATGATAAAAGTATACATCAGTAACAAAGCATGTTAACTAAAATATGCAATATTTCATTTATTTGTATATAGTTTGAATATCACTATAATTACGTGTTAACATGCAAAATATTTTAAAAGTAAAAATTGTACCTGAATTTATCAAACTGAGGAGTAACTTTTCTGTCCATGTTACCGCGGTCAATGAGCCTGGGCATTATGTCTATATAAGACAAGGGAGGTAAATCCGCTGCTGTTGTGGTTTTGGCAGATCCAACGGTTTGATGGCCCATCACCTCCTCGTACGAGGGAGGAGGGCATGTAGCTGCCACCGTGTCAGCGGTCGCAGGCGGCCCTAACTTTTCCTCCATGACTATATTGTCCAAAAACAAAAACTATCTATAACACAACTTTCTATTAGGTCATTTTAGAACCTGTAGTTATATAATGAAGAGGTTGGCATTCACTGTGTAATGTGAACGGTCATTTACTCGACTTAAAAATCACGTATAATATTTGAAATTGTATTATATATATTTGCGATACAGTTTTGTCAGTGTGCATGCCATCTTTAACCTTCGACACAATGGAACATGGTAGACAAGCCATTTGATCCCGATATACCAATACATTGTGTAGTACCACAGGGACTTGACACGTTCCTATGACCCAGAATGAAAAAAGAGTACCCCATGGTCCGACCCCCAGATCACTTATTATTGACTTATAATAAGTGATCTGGGGGTCGGACCGTAGGGTATTTTTTTCATTCTGGGTCATAGGCGATTTGGGGGTCGGACCATGGGGTATTTATTTATCTGGGTCATAGGCGCGTATCAAGTCCCTGTGTGTAATAAAGGATAGCATATACATACATGTATATACAGTGACTCATTCTCACAATATCACTGGACTGATTTGCCAAATCAATATACATTCCTGTACATTGTATAGCTAAAACATTGACATTTTGATTGATATAAGTGTACCTATATGGTAAGATTGTATTGTTAATCTAGTTCGTAGACGTTGCCATATAGTAATTACACGACCTCTTTGTTGCAACCGTCTTCTTTTTCAATTCTGCTTCTTCAAATGATACTCCCCATTTTCTATAATGATCGCGATTAAGCTATTCCTTTTTATATTTACTCTACATACATGCGATACCTTTGAAATATCCTATATTTGTCTTGTTATACTGGAATACACACAATTCAATCAAACGTGTTGAGCATTGCACATGTACTTTTATATAAGTAGCATAGTACAACCACGGACTTAGATTGTACGAGAACATAAATATGGCTCCATAGTAAATATATCAAATCCCATGGTTATTTCAAGAGCGTAAACCAAATGAGATAACTTACCTGGCGATAATCACTGTCAATGCTCACAGAACTTTCAGGTCAACTTGGAGTTGAAAATATCGTACATTAATTGCGACATTATGAACTCTGCAAACATAACTTCCGGTTCCTTAACAAGTGTGTATTTATAGGAACTAGTTCCACGAGAGCACCAGTGGTGTTTACATTGTGAAATCTGCCTAGCGACATGTAAACAAATACTGACAGGTGACCGGGAAGTCACGCTTGAGTGGGCGGGTGAGTTTGAGTGCCTTGTTATATACTATAGTGTACACAGTATAGACTAATACTACTATTAATACCCGGCCTACTCTGCCCCGGCCGGGTATTAAATCGATCCTATGCCTTGTAATGGAGTAAGCCCGGTGTGAATCACACCGGGCGATTTTAGAATTGATTGACAGCACATGGGTCGACATTCATAAATAGGGTTGAAGCATGAACTATTTCTGTTGATTTCCTGCACAACTTGAAGTTAAACTCTGCCTCAAATGTCGTTAAATTATCAAGTTAACGTAGCAAGCGCAATCGAAA